CATGCATCATTCACAGAAATATCGTTTTATTACCTAATTATTTCTGTCAACCGAAAGTTGTTCCCAGACTTTTCTTTTTAATTAATCTATCCTTAAACTGTACAATATGTGTTTGTTGACGCGACCGACTTCGAGCAAAATCGTTACCGGATATTTAAAACGCTAAGTAAAAGTCAAACAGATATAGTTAAAAACTCTCATCTCGGAAAAAGGACGCCCGGTTCCGGTTTTCTATTCGTAAATGACGTAGTGCGAGTATAGAACTACTTTAAGTTGGGTACGTGACGCAAGCCCAGTGTGATGCAGGTGTTCAGATACATGTATAGTGCAAGAACAAATTGAAAATTATTATTTACAAAACATGTTTTATTTTAACTTTGCCATCTAGGCCTATTTCCAAAAACAGGCAAATAAGGTGTGTTTGTGTGTGTGTTGATGGGAGAGGGGTCGGGGTTGACTAAATTGATTGTGTATATGGCAGCTTTCAAGAAGTTTCTGCCTAATCAAATATAAATAAACTTTGCACATTTTGAAAAATTCATCAAAAACGCTTTACACTAATTTGAATAATATTATTTGTTGTTAATCTATATGAGAAAATATATTTAAAAGTTCCAATTATGTGCCACCCCCCCCCCTTATCAAACCTAATTTACATCATTAATTTAATTCTGTTGTCTAATTTCCGACTGGTAATGAATAAAGAATATGAAATACCTATAAGATGGAGGCCCATGGGTAACATGGTCACTAGCTGCAGATCTGTATAGCGTTATGGTTTTATATATTAGTCTTTGACCATAAAGCTACAGCTCCTGTAATGCAAAAAAGGTGCAATTTACGGTGCAATATTTTTTTGCGCACTTCTGGGGAGAATTTCTCCACTTTCCAGCATCGGTCAATTTACTACCTTTCACCCCCTAATTCTAGGCACATTATTTAACTAATCTGTATATTTTATCCATCTCCAAACGTTTTATATTCGTCTCTACACGAGATAAACTCGCTTGATTAAAATTATTTGTTAGATTGCATAAAATTCAAATCAAGCGGGTTTATTGCCTGTAGAGATGAAGTATAAATGGCTGAGAGGTGGACAAAATATACATTTTGACTACAGAATGTGTCTAAAATTAGGGAATGAAAGGTAGTTGATTGACCAATGCTAGAAAATGGAGAAATTCTGCCCAAAAGTGCGCAAAAAAATATTGCGCCGTAAATTGCACCTTTTTTGCATATGGGGATCTGTAGCATTATGGTCAAAGACAAATATATAAAACCATAACGCTGCAGATCTGCAGCTACATGGTCACCTGAGCATATTATGCTCAATTTGAAGAATACATGTATTATGTAAATTATTGAATTATATTGACTTTTTCCATGGTAAAGCCCAATATGAAGAAGTGTGCATTTAGAGGCAAACACCTTAGTGCGGGTATTACTGTCTCATGACAGCATCTAGTCTCTCGCATTAATGTCGGCTCCATGTTCCAAAAGTAATGCAATTGTTTCAAAATATTGCGCAGCGCATGCATGGTGTAAAGCAGAGCGCATTTGTTTATCAGTTTCATTTACACAAACACCGAATTTTAGCAATAGCTCGGTGCACTCTCTATGGTACTGGGCGGCACCCATAAGTGCTGTTAACCCGTAGTTGTCATGGGTATGAATATCAGAACCAGTTTGAACCAGCAAAGAAACGACACTAGGTAATTCAATTGGCTCAAATTTTTTCGGCTTGAAAAGGAAGTATACTTCTTCTGTGCAAGGTATATCGTGTAACATGTATGGAATATATCTTTCAAAATCAGAATCGCCAAAAATAATTTGCATGAGAATAGTTCGCCCGTGTTTTAAATCCATATTTGGTTTTGCTCCATTGTCTACAAGATAAGTCAATCCGTCTTCAAATAAAGTCCATGCTGCAATACTTATGGGTGATATTAACTCTTTAAACACAAAATTAACGTTAGCACCCGATTTAACAAGCAAAGACACTAAATCTATATTTTTTGAACAACATGCTGCAAGTAAAGGCGAAGGACCCATTTTATCATTAAAATTGACTTTTGCTCCATGTTTTATTAGCACCTTTGCAACATTGATATGGTCTCTGTAACAAGCAGTATACAACGGTGATTTTTCTTCATTATCACATTGGTTCACATCAGCATCAAGACTGATAAGAAGCTTGAGTGCTGCTTTTTGACCCAGACTAGAAGCCCACCAAACAGGTGTTCGACCATCCTCGTCTCGTTTATTAACACTTGCTCCTTTACCTATTAATAAATTCAGGATTTCTACACTATCGCTTTGTATTGCAGCCCAAAGTGCTGTTTTTTCGGGACCGTGTGTGTCATCTACAATGGCCCCTTTTTCAAGCAAATATGAAACAGTATCTGTATTACCAAGATAACAAGCCCACCAAAGTGGTGACCATCCATTATCAATGTCCATCTCAAAATAATCTGAATTGCACGGATAATTAAACATGTCTAGGGGACATTCTTTTTCAAGGTCTGCACCACTGTCAACCAAAATCCTTACTATTTCAGTAAACCCCTTTTCACAACATTCTGCAAGGGGTGTATTTCCAAATTTATCATTATAGTTTACAAGAGCTCCATTTTCTATCAGAAATGTTACAATATCAGTGTAACCGAACCGACAGGCTGCTGTTAAGGGTGTTACCGACTCCATTCCCAAATCAACATACTTATTCAAATCATGATGATTGCAAATGCCTTCTTGAAAGAGATACCTCAGAACTTCTGTATTGCCTTTCAAACATGGCACGATGATGAATGTTAACCCCTGTAAAGGACACGAGTTTTCCACGTGTGAATCAGCATCATATTCCTGTTTGCAAAGAAAACAGAAGGAGTTTGTTTTGAAATCACTGTGAAATAAATTTGCACAAAAACTCACCATTCTTAAATTTCCGCTGAGTAATGATAAAATAAATGTTGAATTTCTACTTAAGCATAACTCATCTATCACTGTTTTGTCTACATAATCTAGTGTCATTTTAAAGAAATCAATCCAGCCAGCACCTATTAACCAATGCAAAAAACCCGTTTTAGCTGCTGCGAGTAATTGTCTTGCTGTTATTCTTTCGTAAAACATATCTGCTGTACGGAAGCGAGTACCCCATTCTCTAAACAAGTCATCTGTATTTTCACAACCTCTCATTTCCACCCTGCGATAATGATCTTTGATTCCCAATTCTAATGGAGAAATTGAATCGGTCACACCGCTAAATTTCATAAAAGTATAAAATACCGATTCAGCATCATCTAGTTCTATTAGATCTTCCACCAGCCGAAACACACTGTGAAATTCTGTATGTATGGTTCCCACTAATTCTTCCTTAAGTGAAATTTCTGCACATTTAACAGAAAAATTTGATCCTAAAAATCCCGATAGATCGCCTCTTGATTTAAGGTTGTGAAATAACATCGCCTCGAGTTCATAATTAGGAAATAAATGACAGAAAAGGATATTTGGAATGTTATTTTGCTTTAATTCCTTTGCGATTCGCTCCACAAAAACACATTTAAATTGGTCATCAAGCTTGATAACGGTATTGCTATCCCATTTAGATGGCAAAACGTTTTCTGGAAGAATAAGTCTTGATTCCAATATCCACAACGGAGCAAATGTGATCAATGTATCAAGAGACTGTTTCGCAAAATGACATGCTAATATTTCAATTAAAATAGTGTGTAATAATTCATAACAGTTATCCTTTTTCAGGACAAAACTATTTGTCATCATTTCCAAAGCTTGTTTTATTCTTTTTCTTGACGTTCCTTGGTCCAAAAAGCACTCTTCGAATACCACATCAAAGATTTTATCAATATTTTGATCTCTTCCTTTAATGAAGTATTCTGGCCGAACTTCGTTGTCAAACATAACACAGAGGATAAGAGCACTGTATTCGTAAGGTGTTTCATGTTGTCTTAGGGCATCTAGTTCTTCTTCATATTCCATATAAGGAAACTTCAGAAAACGCTCTGCGTTTTCCATGAAATGCGTGTTGGTCGAAATGAGTTTGCACAACAAAGGAAAACAATCATGCAGATTCAATAAGTATTTTTTAAATATAAACTCTGTATTTGTATGTTTCTTATATATTTGTTTCTTCTCTTTGATTGTCATTGAGTAATTCTCAGAGTTTAAGTCAACTTCTTTTCCTTTAAACAGTTGGAGATCCTTGTAATAGTGTGTTTTGCTATGTGACAACCTACAAGACACCAGCATTCTTGTTTTCCTGTTTTTCGAAATGCATTGCTGTATGTCACTGTCATATATTTTCCATTCCTTTGCTAAATGAATATCTATACATTTTGTACCACAAGGATCCTCTATAATAAATAATTGACATGTACTGTCGTCAAAATATTGTATCAGTTCATGTGGCATTTTTATTGGCACAATGTGAAAACCAATGTTTTGACAAAGTAGTGATACATGATGTAAAATTGCAGATTTTCCTGTTCCGGGATTTCCAACTACAGACACGCATTTCTCAGTACGAATCAAATTCAAAATTTCTTTAGATGCTCTTGTTTCACAGAATTTTGCGTCCTCAAGTTTCCACATCTCTAGTTTGCCACTGATTTGCTCTAGAAAAATATTAAAATCAAGTATTTTTTGCGCGGGAAAAGACAATGTATCAAATATGTTCCTCAAACAAATACAAGACTAAGATTATGATAAGTTAAACAGGCTTATATATTTTGAAAACATACTTTATAGAAAGGATTAACTTTCATAAAAAAGGAGAAAATTTTGTTTTGGTTGCGTAGAAATAATTGCAACAAAATCGTATAGAACTATGTTCCAGTAAAAGGAACATATCATCTGTGTGTCAATTTAAGTAACAGACCACACCAAAAATATATTCAGTTGGCAATTCAAAAATATGAAAAAATAATAATTTTTACCTTTGATATTTCGTGGTATTGTATCATTTAACTGATATATTAGTTGCCTCATTTCCAGTAGAATTTCGTTATCTTTTATTCAAATTGCAACGTTTTTAATGCCCTCGCCTCAAGCAATTGTTCATTGCCCCCTAATCTGCCAATTGCCTGTACAAATAAAAGAGGATATAAATTATAGACATTATTTAAAAATAGCAAAAAAAAAAAAAAAATCAAATCTTGGAATGATACACATGAATAGAAATGTAAATATATTTTACTTGACAATAAATAACGTACATTTTCAATGTCAGCCCAGTAATCATTGAATTCCATTTCTGATAATTTTGCATTCTTTGAATGTGCTACAATGTTTCTGTAATACTTCATTCTAGCAAGGTCTGCCCCGACACTATTGTCTGATTGTGAAGGCAACTTGTCAAACCCTGTGACCGGAGCAGGAACACTCGTCATATACCGCAGAAGGAGAATTAGCGTAGTGACGTCAAATTGCCTTGATGTTACGTACCCTTGTTTTAAAAAAAACAATACAGGAAGTCTCTTTGTGATGAAAATGCAATTAAAAAATTATAATTATGATTTGTTTATGTAAAATAGCATATAAAACATGAATACACAAGAAGTTTCTCGCTGGTTTTGAAGATCTTGACTTTAAGTTTTTCGGTATAAAATTTCAAAAAATAAGAATATTCTTATTTTAGTAAGGATGACAACACTGGAAAATGGTAAAGCATTGTGTTCTTCTTGTAGAAAGAGTATGTTTTTGAAAAGTTTGGACAGACGGGCAACGAGATATGACTTACAAATACATACGAGCTACTCCAATTTGGCTGAGATAGAATTGATTACTTCAACATTGATACTAAAAAAATTATTCTTTTGCCAAAAAACCTTACCTGATGATGGGTACAATATATTCCATTGCTGAGTAGAAATGACTCTTTCTTTTTTTATTGCTAAGAGTTTAGGTTTATTTAATGCAAGATCTGATATAAGGTCTAATGGAGGATGCTTGGAATCAAAGAATGTTCTAACTGCTATTGGCACTCTTCGAAAAATCAGGAGCGCTATTCGAAAAAAATTCAATTCTCTGAAAGAAATAGGAGGCGAAGAAGAAACTGGATGTGTAACAGTTTGAATTGTGGCAGTGATGTCAGCATGCCCTAAACTTGTCGTTACTGTAGTATTCGGTAATAGTGGTGCAGTTGTTCCAAAACTATGTTGTAATGATGAAGAAGATGTTTGGGGCATTGTTATCACAACTGGGTCCTCAATTTGTGTATTTAAAGTAGATGATGGTGTCTGACTTTGCATTGTTGGTTCAGCTAGTGAGCTATCAATCATCGATTCATCTGTTCCCTGGAAACAATAATGCTGGTACCGGTGGTCCTATTGCGTTACTAACACTAGTTGGAATTTTTTGTAATTTCAGCCTTGCATCAAAAGTTGAAACTATGCTCTCTGTTCCTGAAATATTGGAATCTAAGGTATTTGTTTGGAGATTTGGTGAAACTTGTGTCGTTGGTAATAACAGTGGTGGTGTCGTAGTTGAAAGCTCTAGATCATTTTGATGCTTAGAGCTGGCAGTATCTTCTGATTCTGGTAAATTATTTTCCTCAAGAGTCTGAATTGACGGTTTAGGAATTGAATATGCAGATAAAAGTGGAATGTCGGTGGAGCATCTTGAATATATGACTGAGGTTGATTGTGTTGGTGTCGTAAGTTCTTCAGAATTGCTACATTTTTCGACATTTTTTGCAACCTCATTTGTCGATGCTTGACACGACTCTTCTAATATATTGTTTGTTGACGTATCACTAGCGCCTTTTTTATTTTGAACACTTTCACTTTCCATATTTTCAATTTCTAAGAAAAATACAAACAAATATATTTTTTTCTTTCCGTTTTTTTACAAACTCAAAATACTATTCCTATTTGGATATTTTACTTGAAAAGACGTTAAAGGTAATTTAATAACAAAGCTCTATGATAAACGTGGTGACTTTACCTTTTCTATCGTCAACTTTCCTTACTTATGCAGCAATATACTTTAAGGGGGATGTACAAGCTATATTGGATCTAGTCTGGTGTAAAATAAGAAATACCAAGAATGCGCTTAATACTCTACTAAACTAGCCCAAAGTTACTCAAAGTGCTAATGCACTAATTACCTACTGTTAGAGACCAAAATTAGTTAACAATTAAGTTTATTTTGTTTTAATTAGGAGGAAATTATTCATGTCAGAACTGCGCAGCTACAGCATTTACGAGATGATAAATGCATTGAAAATGGTGTTAGTTTGATTCATTGATAATATGGCTACAACCATTTGTTTCGCTTTTTTCTTGTCATTATCCATAATTCTTGAAAATTTGATTTTTCATATAGGTGTCTTCCTGAGGCAATGTGTTTATTTCGTCCGCCATTCCTCTGTCACACAAAGTTCGAATAACAATGATTTTAGAATAAATGCGACCATAATAACATCAAGACAAGAAATTACTAAGTAATAATCATTAGGTAATATTACTTACTACTTTTATTTGTTGCATCGCATCATCTGATTAATGAAAAAACGCGATTTTAACCCCATTCCAGCAAATCGGGAAAAACTGTTCTGTGTACAGTTCGAGTTTCCTCATTAAAATTATTCCACTGAGCACGTGGTTGGCATGTGCATATATCTGCTGTGGATAGATCCGTTTATTACCATGATTATATTTAATTTTTCATGGAACAAGTCTTGATAATTTGTTGGTTTCTTTAAAACTCAAGAAAAAAAAGATAAAAATGTCCTAAACATATGTGTTTACGACGGGTCTTTTTTCTGTGGCGATAGAAGTTATTTTCAAATGGGGTACTGCAAGGAGGATGCTTAGCATTTAATTTGAAAATGTTAAACAATATGCAGTGCATGAAGAACAAATTGTAATAACATGTCTTACATTCTAAAATTGGTACATATGTATATTTTGTTTAGAAGTTAGATAGAAAAAATAGGCAGTTATAGGATTTCCTTCAGGCACCTCACATAAACAGCTAGATTGTTTGCAATGACCAACACATTGTATGGAGTAAGGCTTGGACATAAAAACGCATCATGTCTCATTATGTTGACAACGTTGTAAGCTCTCGCTCATTGAACATTTGAACATACGAAGCTTGATAAAATATATTGAGTTGTTTCTTTGAAATTTAGAAACGAGTACAATGTTTGCAAAGAAAGGTCCATCGCATATGCTATGTCTATCATCGCAAAAAAAGTGAAGAGCCGCACCCCCCCCCCTCCCCCCGAAAATCCTATGTTTGTTTTTCAAAATAGTGAAAAAGATTCAAAAAATTTGCATTGCTAAGAACGTGATGGAATATGTACTAGCCTTATAAGACCACTTGTTATAAAAATATTTGGTTGCCCTCTCTCCCGATCTACTGCCTGGAAATGGCCCGACTCATCCCATTACACGATATTTTTTTTTCTTTTTCTTCCGTCAACAATTATGTTTAAATTTTAAGGAATTTCTTTCTCACCTATAAATACGGACCCAATATAAATTTTTCCCTGAATTGGGAGGACCACCAAACGTCATTTTAACGATGGTATAAAATATTTAATTATGTTGAATTTTTTCTTTACTTTGTAAAATTTTAATTTTGACAATATGGGCAAATAGAATTTTCGTCACAAGTACCTGCATGACGTCATTTTTAGATTGTGACATCACAAACAAGGAGAAAAACTTCAGCATATGCTATTTATAGAACTTGTGTTTGGCTATCTTTCTAATCTGAATTGTGGTTTTGTAGATATAGAGATAGTTCGAACTTTTTGATCACCCCTGGTACTAGTAGGTATTAAAACAAGGTCATTCATATCGATTATATGTGTCTAATTTCTTTTGTGTTTCATTAGTGATAATTAAAAGTTTGATAGATAATATAAGTTATCTATGGCAAACTTACAAACTCTTAATTTTTAACTTTGATAGTGCTCATTTTCCCTTACCTGGAATCAAAGAGTTTAAGATTTTTTTTATATCAATACGTACACTTTTTAACAACTGTTCAATAATAATACTAAATAAATTATTTCAAGCCACACTATAACACCTTTCTTTTTTAAAAGTGTTCATATTATTTGAAATATTTTGAAACTGTAATTCTCTTCTACATTTAAAGATTGTTATGTCCCTCCATATTAAGAAGAGGTCTGGAAAACAAAATTCTGTGCTAAAAATAGAACACGTGCTGCTATCCATGAACTACTTTCATGGTTCTTTGCACTCTTTTTGAAGACAACGGTACCTTGTTTTGAACTTGAAATTATCATTTTAAAGTGCAAAATTTAGACAATTTCTCAACAAATGGTTGTAGAGAGAACATTATTGCACCGTTTGCATATTTTTTTGGATTTTTTAAGGCTCTGCTGAATTCTGTAGCTGCGCAGTTCTAAAGAGCATATCAAAAGCATTTTTCTGTAAAAGTATAGATTTTATATACACAACATGCATTCAGTTATGCATATTTATTGTATCTTTATCATTGGGACTTAAAATTTGATCAAAATATAATGTATTTTAGCCATTTTAAGAAATGTTTACATTTTGTTCTCACTGCACTAAAGGTGGCCGGACATCCCCCTTAATCACATACAAACGGAGTTTATATATCTCAGTTGATTCGATACACAAGAGCATGCTCTATGTATGAACAATTTCTAAAACGAGGTAAATTATTGACAAGCAAGTTGATAAAACAAGAATATCAGCAGTATCGTTTAAAGTCATAATCTCGTAAGTTCTACATGGTCGATACAATTATCTTGTCAGCAAATACAATTTATCATTGAGTCAAATGCCGTTTATACACTGAATTGAGGACGGATTCTGTTGTTTCCCGATCATGACAAGGAGAAGGCGGCGGGTATGACCGATTGGCAGGGGATGCTCACTCCTCCATGGCACCTGATCCCACCCCTGATGTTCTGGAGGTCCGTGTTTGCTCTGCTCCTATTTTGTATTGATTAATGGACTTTTGATCTTGAATACTGTTCGTTATTTCCATATTTTTCATTCTAAGTGCTTCAATATTTTCAAACTTAATAAATAATTCTGTTTTTCACAGTATATAACACATCAAAAGGCACCTTTAACCCCCCCCCTTTAACACAACTGTGTTACCAGCCCCCTCCTACTCCGTTGCCATGGGATAATAAACATAAATGCATACAAATCAAAAGGATTGATTTTTTTTAGATTCGTTTGTATTTGAGTTCTATCTAGAAAACGACCCTGTATACTGACAGTAGCAAGAAAACAAATGTCTCCGTCGCTAGAGTAGAGTGCATAAATATTGAAGAGATTAAAAACCTTTCTATTGATTATTTAAATGCATACAGCTATTTTTATTACAGTGTATAGATGGTACACAGTATTTGCTACCTTTAATTCTTCCTTTTCTAAGAGAGGAATAAATATTTATTTATGTCTGAGAATAAAAATGCTCTGTTATATAATAAATACTACTTATAATAACCATTCAATGCATTAAACTTCTAGCCTTAGTTACACTTTATTAATGATGCCATAAATACACTATATTAAATCAAGTGAGAATTAACATTAACAGCTAAAGAACTGCATATTTCCTTACTGAGAATATAACAATATTTCAAATATCAAAATAAAAAAGCAACAATTTTAAGACTTTGTCCTCGGAAAATAAAGGATGGAAGACTGAAAGACGTTTCAAAACAAAAATTTCACTATTGTATACGTTTTAGTCTCAAAAATCCAATGTATGTACATTGTTTTTAATATTCTGCTTATATTCTAGTACTATGTTTAATGGTGAGAAATTATGAAGACTTACCTTACACGCCTATTACCCCATACATTTTGCTGTACAACGACTTGTGGGACCTTTTCATATTCGGCTTACTTAGAGAAATATCAATGCTAAACAGGAAGGTTTATAACGATTTTTTTCGGGCTTCGTTCATGTTACAGCTTTTCATTGTCATTACGTAATTGTTTATTTTATAGACCGGCAACCATGGTGACTATTCTTTTATCTTATCTTAAGGTCAAGATCTAGTAAACGACTTTAAACTAATTTTTTCATGCTAGATCCATTATGACGTCATAATCAATTTCAACTTTCTTTTTCCCGTACTTTACGGCTTTAGCAGAATTATGTAGAAAAAAGGGTATTATCATGACATTCCATTTGAAATCATATGAAAAGTAAACCGTATACCTTTATTAAATTTGATATCGTTTTAAAGAAGAGGCCACAAACATACTAATTACAGTTTTCTGAGAGACTGTAGGCAATCTGGATACATTTCCGCTATCGAAAATGAAAAAAACTCCCATATTCATGACTGGTTTTCTTATTTTTTCATTGAAAATGATAGTTTAAAATACAGTTTTTAATCTTGTTTACCTACAAATTATGCCCCGAAACACCTTACTAGGCCAAGCTAAAGTTTTAAAGCATCAATAAAGGAATTTATTTCTCAAATTTAATAAATCTGTAGGCACCTTTTATTTTCTATATCTTGACCTTAAAAAGCTAAATTTTTACACTGTCAGTATTTTCTTCATAATTTTGATACCGACTTTAGCAACTCAACTATGTACAATTGAAAGCTTAATTTTAATCATGTAACGTGAAGCACATTAAAGTAGAAGTATTAGCTTGACCGAGTAATATATGAATTCTATTGATTACTGCTATTGACAGGCAAAATAACAGTTTGGATACATTCACAACGCTCTTGAAAAAAAAACATAGAAAAGCTCGGAAAGTATACAAATGTTTAGTGGCTTGTTCTTTTAAATTAATAGAATAATGA